TCTATTTGACCCAGCAATCCCATTACTGGGTATATAACCAAAGGATTATAAATCATTCTACTGTAAGGATACATGCATACAAATGTTCATTGCGGCACTGTTTACAATAGCAAAGACCTGGAACCAACCCAAATGTCCATCAATGATAGACTGCACAGGGAAAATGTGGCACATATACACACGGAATACTATGCGGCCATAAAAAACGATGAGTTTGTGTCCTTTGTAGGGACATGGATGAACCTGGTAACCATCATTCTCAGCAAACTGATGCAAGAATAGAAAATCAAACACTGCATGTTCTCACTCATAGGTGGGTATTGAACAATGAGAACACATGGACACAGAGAGGGGAGCATCACACACTGGGGTCTGTCGGGGGGAAATAGGGGAGGGACAGCAGGGAGTGGGGAGTTGGGGAGAGATAGCATGGGGAGAAATGCCAGATATAGGTGATGGGGAGGAAGGCAGCAAATCACACTGCCATGTGTATACCTATGCAACAATCTTGCATGTTCTTCAAATGTACCCCTAAACCTAAAATGTGAAAAAAATTAGCCAGGCATGGTGGTGGGCACCTGTAATCCCAGCTACTCAGGAGGCTGAGGCAGAACTGCTTGAACCTGAGAGGCAGAGGGTACAGTGAGCAGAGGCTGTGCCACTGTATTCCAGCCTGGGCAACAGAGTGAGACTTTGTCTCAGAAAAAAAAAAAAAAAAAGGAAGAGGGCTGGATATGGTGGCTCCTGCCTATAACTTCAGTGCTTTGGGAGGGTGAGGGGAGAAGATCATTGGAGGCCCAGGAGCTGGAGACCAGACTAGGCAACAAAGCAAGACTCTATCTCTGCAAATTATTAAAAAAATTATTGGGTATGGTTGCTTGTAGTCCTAACTCAGGAGGCTGAGACAGGAGGATTACTTGAGCCCAGGAGTTTGAGGTTGCAGTGAGCTATGATTATGCTACTGCACTCTAGCCTGGCCAATGGAGCGAGACCTTGTCTCGAAAAAAGAATAAAAAAAGAAAGACTGGAAATAAATGAAATACATGAATATGTGTGAAATTTGTAAACTTAGCCCAAACCAATAGAAAATTTAAAAAAGGAGGTAATAAAAATTAGGTCATAAAACAGTGAAACAGAAAATAAACATAAAATGAAGAGAATGAACCAAACCCAGAGGGGTTTCTGAACAAACCTCAGGCAAGGTTGATCAAGAAAAAAAGAGTAGGTACAAATAAACAACATTAGAAATGAACAGGGGACATAATGACAAAGATGGTAGAGAATAAAAAGGTGAGAGAATACCATGAAGAAGCTCTCTGCAATATTTTAAAACCTAGATTTTTTAGGAAAATGTAGTTTACCAAAACTCACTCAAGAAATAGAAAGCCCGGATGGCCTTATAAATTGAAGTAGTTGTTAAAAAACAAAAATAAAACTTTCTTAAACCTAAAACCAAAATACCAGGTTCTCATACTTTTATAGGCAAGTACTGCCAAACTTTCAAGATACAAATCATTCCAATATTATATAAAGGCTTTCAGAGAATTTAAGAGAGAATACTCTCCAAGTCATTGTATGAGGTAGATATAACTTTGAAACTAAAATCAGACAGAGAAATACAAGAGAGGAAAATTAACCACAGGCCAGTCTCACTCATAAATGTAAATATCGAGATCTTATAAAAGAAACTTTAGCAGACAGTAGGGCAGTATATAAAAAAGATAATATGCAATGACTAAGCTGAGTTTATCTGAGAAATTCCAGGGTGGTTTATCATTAGGAAATCTTTAAAAGCTGTTCATCACATTAACAGATAAAAGCAAAAAAAAAAATGATCGTGTCAGTAGATTTTTCATCTCTACTGAAAGAGCATTTGATTAAATTCAAAACCCATTCACAATTAAAATGCTCAGCAACTAAAATATAAAGGAATTTCCCCAGCCCTAATAAAAGACATACATCTTTTATTGCTAATACTAACATCTGCATTATTCTTAAATGTACTAAACATCTGCATTATTCTTAAAGAATAAATATTGGAAAGATTCCTTTTTAAAAAAACCTTTTTTTTTCCAGAGACAAGGTCTCTCTGACACCCAAACTGGAGTGCAGTGGCGTGATCATAGCTCACTATAGCCTTGAACTCCTGGGTTCGAGCAATCCTTCCACCTCAGCTTCCTGAGTAGCTGGGAGTATAAGAAAGCGCCACCAAGCCCAGCTAATTTTAGATTCCTTTTAAAAACAAGAAAAGGACAGATGTCTACTATACCACTCCTTGAAAGACTTCAGGTCCTAGCCAGTGCAGTAATATAACAAAGAGAAGTTAAAGAAATAATGATGTTGTAGCTTTACCGAATATATAAAAAATGATTAAAAATAGCAAACAAAAAATACATACTGGAATCTAAAACCAAATATCCTCCTGTGGGAGTGCTGTACACTCTCTATGCCTATAAATATTCCTTCGAAAGCAGCAATGATGCCAGATACCTTCTTGTGTACACAGTGGTCTCCTCTTATTCTCAAGAGGAGAATAAGGCACTAAAATGCTTAGGGTGTTACTTCTCGCTCTCTGGGGGTAAGGAAAGAGGTGTTAAGTACAAAAATAACCCTATCTCAAAGAAAGAGTCTGCCAGAAGAATCATTTTTGGAATATCCTCTGAATACTAGTATATATAACTAAGTCCTTTCAAAGAAAAGCCTAAATTCACATGTCCAAACCCTGCCCATCTTTGAGAGTTAACTGAAGATGCATCTTCTTAAAAAATCGTTCTTTGAGCTGGGCATTGTAGCTCATGGCTATAATCCCAGCACTTTGGGAGGAGGCAGGCGGATTGCTTAAGCTCAGAAATTTGAGACCAGTCTGGACAATATGGTAAAACCCAACCTCTATAAAAATGTCAAAAGCTAGCTGAGCATGGTGATGTGTACCTGTAGTCCCATATACTCAGGAGGCTGAGGTGGGAGACCTGCTTGAGCCCGGGAGGCAGAGGTTGCAGTAAGCCAAGATTGTGCCATTGTACTCTAGCCTGGGCAATTGAGTTAGACTCTGTCTCAAAAAACCGCCACATTATTCTTTGTCTATTTCAGTTCTTAGTGAATTCTTTCCACAGAATAACTGCACTATGGCAGGCATTAATAATTTAATCATTGATTTGACATCTCTTACCATTTATTTTTGTATTATTATTTAACTCTATGATGTCCTGATTTATAAATAGCATATCTAATTCCTAAATGAATGAGAGAACAGTTCTTAAACAGTTATTTATTTACATCTATCTTGTATTCTAGAAGAGATGTCTCCCCTACATCTTGAGGCCCAGTATGATACTTTGCTTTATCTCTCATGGTCTCTTAATAAGTCATAATCTAACAGTGATACAGAGATGCTCCAGCTAACAGAACTCTAATATACTCTCACTTCATTATCTACATGCTGGAGCATGTGCAGATGAATAAGAACCAATGGAGGCCAATAATGATTAAAATGAAAGATGATTTTAAAAGATCTTTTATATGTATCCTTTACACTTTCTTAGCTGAGTGTGATGGCATACTCCTGTGGAAAGCTGAGATGGGAGGATTGCTTGCACTTAGGAGCTCAAGACGAGTTGAGGCAACATAGTGAGATCCTATCTCAAAAACAAAACAAACAAACAAAAACATTTTCTTCACTAGGCTACAGGGAAAAAAGGAAGGCAAAGAAATATATTATGAAACTTACCTTGCCTGTGAATCATGCCCCCATGCATAATTCTTGCAACAATACAATGATTTAGTTCATTCATTTTTAAAGTGATTCCCTGTATAAAAGAAAAAAGTTCAGTAAAAGTATTTTGGCAGTACTTCGCATAATATTTGTGATTTTGCAGTAGATAATTTTAATTACTAAAGTTGAAAAACATTAAATAGGGAAAATGAAGACCATCCAGTATGACACACACACAAAACTGCTCCATGACAAAAATACTATTTTTGATTGCGATAATAGTATACATACATTTTATATAGTGCTTTTAATATACTTTTTTTTTTGAGATAGATTCTCATTCTGTAACCCAGGCTGGAGTGCAGTGGCACAACTGCAGCTCACTGCTACCTCCACCTCCAGGGTTCAAGTGATTCTCTTGCCTCAGCCTCCTGAGTAGTGGGATTAAAGGTGCCTGCCACCATGCCAAGCTAATTTTTGAATTTTTAGTAGAGACGAGGATAAGGAAAGAGATGGTTCACTATGTTGGCCAGGCTGGTTTTGAATTGCTGACCCAAAGTGCTTTGGCCTCCCAAAATGCTGGTATTACAGGTATGAATCATCATGGCAGACCAATAGTACTTTTAAATTTTCTAATTATGATTATTTTCCCTCTTGCTCTATTTTTAATATTGCCTATTATTTTAAAAAACAGTTTTTATTGATATATAATTGACATACACATATTTAAAGTATACAATTTGATAAGTTTGACATATGTATGAAACTGTTGCCACAATCAGGATAGTGATATATCTATCATTCCCAAAAGTTTCCTCATGCTTGTTGGTAATATTCTCCCATCCATGACCTCCCTGCCACATCCCTAAGCAACTACTAATATGACAATCAAAAAGCTGATAATATAGTTGTTGACCAGTCAAACACTGATACAGTCAACTTTTGCTGACTACAGATTTGTTTGCAATGTACCTAAATGAAATCATACAGTATGAACTCCTTTTTGTTGCTTTTTTCACTCAGCATAATTATTTTTAGATTCTACCATGTTGTTGCATGTATTAGTAATTCATTCTTTGTTCTTCCTGAGTGGTATTCCACTGTATGAACATATCAGTTTATCCACTCACCCACTGAATTGTTTCCTGGTTTGGGCTATTATAAGTAAAGCTGTATTCCTGGGTTAATCATCATTTGATCATAACACATATATAATATATATATTTAACATATATAATATATATATTTTAACATATATATTTAACATATATATATATATATATATTTTTAAGATCTGGAACACTTCATGCATTTGTGTATCATACTTACACAGAGGCCAGGATAATATTTTCTGTACCATTTACATTTTAGTATATGTACTGCTGAAGTGAGCACATATTAACATTTCATATATTGTTGGATTTGCTTTGCTAATATTTTGTTTAGAATTTTTACATCTATATTCATGAAGAATACTAGTCTGCAGTTTTCTTTGTTTGTAATGTCTTAACTAGTTTTGATATCAGGGTAATGCTGGCTTTCTAGAATGAGCTGGGAAAAATTCATTCTTTTTCAATGTTTTGGAAATAGTTTGTATAGAATTGGTATTATTTCTCTATTGTATGTTTGATAGAATTTACCAGTGAAGCCATCTTGGCCTGGGGTTTTCTTTGAGGGATAGTTTTTAACTACAAATTCAGTTTTCAAATGATACAGGGCAATTCAGTTTATTCCTTCTTAAATGAGCTTTAGCAGTTTCTGTCTTCCAGGGAATTTTTCTATTTTATCTAAGTTGTTGAATTTATTGGCATAAATCTGTTTATTTCCTTATCATCCTTTTTATATCTGTAGACTCTGTAGTGATGCCCCTTCTCTCAGGCCTGATATTGGTAATTCATGTCTTTTTTTCCCCCCGATTGCACAGTCATTTTTCTGATCAGTCTAATCTTCCCAAAGAAAAAGTATTTTTAATTTTATTGACACTCTATTGCTTTCTGTTTTCTATTTCATTAATTTCCACTTTGATCTTTATTACTTCTTCTCTTCTACTTATTTTGGGTTTAATTTACTCATTTTTGTCCTAGTTACTGTTAAGGTGTAAGCTGCAGTCTTTGATTTGAGATGTTTCTTCTTTTCCAATATAGGTGTTTAATGGTACATATTTCTCTTTAAGCACTGCTTTAGTGGTATCTTGCAAATTCTGATACACTGTGGTCCATTTTAATTCACTACAAAATACTTTTTAATTTCCCTTTTGATTTCCTTTAATCCATGGGTTAGTTAGAATTGTGTTATTTAGTTTTCAAGTACTTGGAGATTTCTCTCTCTGTTATTCATGTCTAATTTAATCCCAGTGTGGTCTGAAAATATACTTTGATACTAGCTAAGCTACTCAAGCTTCCTTTTGATTAATGTTATCATAGTGATCTTTTTCTAACTTCTTGCTTTTCTTTTGAAGAGATGAGGTCTCACTCTGTGGCCCAGGCTGGAGCACAGTGGTACGATCATAGCCCACTGCATCCTCAAACTCCTGAGCTCAAGTGATCCTCCTCCCTCAGCCTCCCAAGCAGCTGGAACTACAGGCATGTGCCACCAAACCTGGCTTCTACCTTTTTACTTTGATACTATTCTTTGTGTATAAAGTGCATGTTTTACAAGTAGAATATGATGATTGATATGGTTTGGTATAAATATATATTTTTGCTATCTGACTTCTATTTGTTCCACCTGTTCTATGTTGTCTTTTTCTGCCTTTCTTTGTATTATTTTCATTCTGCTTTATCTCCTGTGTTATTAGCTACAACTCTTCATTTTGTTGTTTTAGTGGTTGTATTAGGGTTTATAACATCTATCTTTAACTTGTCAGTGTACCTTCAAGTGATGTTATGCCACTTCACATATAGTATAAGAACTTTACAATAGTATTTAGTACTTCTATGTCTTTCTTCCTGACCTTTGTGCTACCGTTGTCATACATTTTATTCTTCCATATACTATAAACTCCAAAATATATTGTTATTTTTGCTTAAATTGCCAATTATAAGGGATTGAAGTAATAAGAAAAATAACTTATAGGTTTACCCATGTAGCTATCATTTCCAGTGCTCTTTATTCCCTTTTTGTAAATTCATATTTCAATCTGTTACTATTTTCCTTCTGCCTGAAGAATGTCCTAAATATACTGTGGGTCTTATAGTGTGGATCTGCTGAATTCTTTCAGCTTTGGTATGTCTGAAGACATTTTTATTTTGCCTTTGTTCTTGAAAGATACCTTTGCTTGGTTTAGAATTCTAAGTTGAGAAATGTTTGTTTTTAGTACTATATGACACTGTTCTTGTTTGTAGTGCTTTGATAAGACAATGATGTCATCCTTATCTTTGTTCCTCTGTGTGTAAAATTTATTATTTTTTTTATGAGATGGAGTCTTGTTCTGAAGCCCAGGCTGCAGTGCAGTGGCACAATATCTTGGCTCACTTCAACCTCCGCCTGTCAGGCTCAAGCGATTCTCCTGCCTCACTCTCCCAATTTATTTTTTCTTTTTGCTCTATTTCTCAGATTTTCTTTGCCACAGGTTCCAAGCAGTTTGATTATGATGTACCTTGGTATTGTTTTCTTCATTTTTCTTGTGTTTGGGGTTTACCATGGTATTTGGATCGGTGGGTTTATAGTTTTCATCAAGTTTGGAATGTGTTCAGTCATTATTTCTTCAAACATTTCTTCCTTCTTTTCCTCTCTTCTTCATGAACTCCAACTAACCATATATATATTAGGCTGACTGAAGTTGTCCCACAGTTCAGTGATGCTGTTTTAATCTTTAAAAATTCTCTTTCTTGCTGTGTTTCATGGTGGATAGTTTTTATTGCTATGTCTTCAAGTTCACTAATCTCTTCTGAAATGTCTAATCTGCCATTAATCCCATAGTATATATTCCTGCTAATTCTATTATCTGTTAGTTCTATGTCATTTTTGATTGATTATGTTCCACATAATAGGTCACACTTTCTGGTCTTTTTACATGCCTAGTAATCTTTGATTAGATGTCAGACATTGTGAATTTGTTGCATGCTTGATGTTTTTGTATTCCTAAAAATATTCTTATGTTTTGTTCTGAGATTTAGATTGGTTGCTTGGAAATAGTTTGATCCTTTGGGTCTTGCTTTCATGATCCATTAGGCAGGTCTGGAGCAGTTGTCAGTTTGGGGCTAATTATATCTCATTACAGAGATAAGATTTCCCTGATCACTCTACAAATGTGCCATGAATTAGAAATTTTTCTGGTCTGACTGGGGGGAACAGGTAGTGAGTCTCAGGCGCTGTTCCTTCCAATCCTTTGTTTTTTTCTCCATTCAAAGTGGAGAGTGTTGGGGAGTTTCCTATCAGACATGCTTGATACTCTGCTGAATACTCGAGGGAGATCCTCTACAGATCTGAGGTTCTCTCTGTGTGCAGCTCTCTCCTCTTCAGTACTCTGTCCTCTGAACTCTAGTTGCTTTGGTTCCCCTGGACTCTTAGCTTTGTCCCCTTGATTCAGGGAGTCTGCCTACTCTGCCTTAGTTCCTCTCCCTGTGCTGTGGCCTGGAAACTCCCTCAAGGCAGCATGGTGGCACATTCATATGGGTCACCTTGTTTGTTTCCTGTGTCTCTCTCTCTCTTTTTTTCTATTTTTTTTTTTTAATTTAAAGATGGGGTTTCACCATATTGGTCAGGCTGGTCTTGAACTCCTGACCTCAGGTGATCTGCCTGCCTCAGCCTCCCAAAGTGCTAGGATTACAGGTGTGAGCCACCATGCTCAGCTCTTTCCCGTCTCTTAAGAGATCACTGTCCTTAGCTGCCTGATGTCTAATATCTTGAAAACTGTTCTTTCATGAGATTCTGTGTTTTTTATATGTTGGGTTGTTTCAAATGAGATAATAAATCTGGTCCTGGTTACTATATCTTGGCCAGAAATAAAAATTATACAGTCATATTTAATGCCAGAATACTATTCAACAGATTACTTTTTGTTTTCTGATTATCCACTATTAAAAAACAAGCATTTATAAACATATTTTTTTATACTAGATCTTGTTAATCCTAAGAATCATACAGGGAAATTTTAAATAATGCTGACTCTTAAACCCACTCTTTAGATTTAAGCTCAGGAGGCCTGGAATGGAGCCCAGAAATCTGTACTTTTTAACAGGCTCCCTTGCTAGAAAGTGGCCTTGAATTTGAGATGATTAAGGGTAGGGACTATGTCTTTTATTTTTCACTAGAGAATAACACTGTTGGAAAGCTTCATAAAAATATCTGATACTTTATACTCTAACTTAATTTCTACCATTCCACAAACTATAACTTTGCATGGTTCCTATTTTGCAGTTTTCAGAAGTGGTAGGTGAGCAATGTGAAAAATTGGTTTATCAAAATATTTCTAGTCCTAAGATTCAATTGTAATATTCAAGTTTCATTTCCAACTTGTGCATTCAATCAGCATGTGTGGAACTAAGAGAAGTGTTCCTGGAAAAATGCTGTAAATTAGTGTGTAAGTCAAATCTAATTTCATAAGGGAAATGGTAGTACAATAGAGGTTCTACCCTTGAAACCAATAGATTTATGTATTCATTCAACCAACATTAACATGCACTTACAATGAGGCAGGCACTCTGCTGGGTATAGTAGCAAATGAGACTAAAAGGGTCTCTCATGGCCAGGGGAAGATTACCTCAAACCAACTGTAGTTAACATTTATTATTCTGCAGGCCCCAAACATTTCTCTGTAGAGAGGAATTGATTCATGTTCTCTCTGTTCCCAAGTTCACAAATTCTAGGGAAGGGACTGGCATAGCTTGGGTTAGGTGCCTACTCCTGAACCTACCAGCATAAGGGGGGATATTAGGAAGGTTATACTCCTGGCCTTTCCCTGTTTATATAAGTCTTTCCTCTATTTTGTAAGCTAGTTCAAGTTTGGTTTTTGTCACTTGCAACTATGGGGATCCCAGTCAATTAAAAAAAAATTATTAAGTATGATGCTATGAATGGGAAAACACAGGGTGTAATAGGAGTATATCACCCTTGGGGAATGGACACATTGCCTGAAAAGCAAAAGAGATCATATAGGAATACCTTGCACTGTAATATAATGCTTTGAATAAAGTGAGTAAGAAAGCAAATAAAATTGTATTAAATATATTAGAGATTTATACTCTATTATTGAAAATACATATTTTATATTTCACATAAAATAATTCTTGTTTTCATGGTAACCTATCAAAAAGAGAAGAAATATACATCTTCACTAAGATCACAGAAGACAGAAGAGCTTTTAGAAGGAGACTTTTAGGGGAGACTCAAGACCATTGAATGCTTTCTGAAAAAGTAACTAGAAGGATGTAGTTTTATGCTTTTATTCAGTC